GTTGCGTGCTAGAACCGGCTCGTTATTTGTTTACAATGAGTTCATGGTTACAATATGTTAAATCCATCCAAACTCATATGGTGAGCTTCCAAATTGATCTTTAATTAGAGCTAATTCATTATTAAATCTGAATTGTTTTCGTCGAATATTTTGTCTTTTTCATAGTTAGGTTATATGTTACCATATGTAAAAAATCAATCAAATATTTTGATGCATTTCTTTTAAATATTAATATTCTTTTAATATTAATATTAATTAATTAAATATTTGTATTAATTTTGTCCAGGACTATGATGGTCAGGCACGAGCGGAAAAGTTATCAAGGGTCATCATAACACTTTTTGGGGTAAAATGTTGTTTTTAAAAATATCATGATATATATAGATAATTTGTTTAAAGTTACAAATGATTTCTTTTACAGATAGTTGGATTAATATGGGGGTACGTTATTCAACAATTTTCACAAACAATTTACATCCTCGGTGCAGGATTTGTGATGGCTGCTTTAATAACAGTTCCCCCATGGCCCATGTATCGCCGTAAGCCTTTAGACTGGCAGAAGCCACAATCTGAAGTTACCACCAAACTGAAAAAGAAGAAATAGTCTATCCCAATTGTACTTAATAAAACTTTGTTAGCAAAATATCAGATGCCAATATTTGATAAGGATTCAAAGTGCACAAATTCTTCGTGTTTTTTTTTTTTATAACTAAGCCGTGTACTTAGTCATGACTATGAAAGCAATGAATGAAAGTATATGTGACAGGTGCTGAATGAATCAATATTTTCTACTTGATCAGCAGTATAGATTATAAATAAAATATACTCAATGTATATAATTCCACTTACATATACTAAGTAAAAATAATGCTCGTACCATCAGATTGCATTTACATTTGTATATATACATATATAGGTATATTAAGATAATAAAAATCATCGTTTAATAATTTAATTATGCAACATGTTACTGTTTTATCGCATAACAATGCTGCTTATCATTGCAGAATAGTGTCTATCGCGAAACGTGAAGATCGACGTATCTTATCGAGCAGCAATGTATAAAATATCGGACTCGGGATATCCCTTCCGCAACCACAGTTATATAATGTGTAACAACCGAAAGGAAGAAGTCTCGTAACAAGGTTGATACAGTGCTCGGTATACTGTTGATCACTCTAATTCTGGTTTCAATAAATCGATCGAACAATTAACCAGGCATTTATGATTATGCCGCATACCACGAGCTACACGTTGGATCGATTCCAACGTTTGACTTTCATCGGACACGTTTCTCATTTTCTCTCGCCGCACGCTAACCGAAGCATATTTCCCTCAAAATCGGCCTGGCGACGTGACTTTCACGAGACAGAAGTGGTAGTAGCGTTTTGGAACACGGTGGGGATGATTGCAAGTAGATCGTTACGTAAACGGGCAACGATCACAGGTACATCGAAAATACAAAATGTGCCGCAATACTCGTTACCGTTTTCTTTCCTACTATCTTTTTATTCTTCAATCCTATTCCCCTTTCGTCACCGTTGTTCGATAGTCTCTATGCCCTACCTTTGTTTATTGCTACGAAACTGGAATACTCTGTTATGCAACGAAGAGGATTTCGTTGCAGGCCTCTTGCAAACGGGTCTTCTTTTTGTGCAGGCGTGCAGTGGCTCAAAACGATAAATAAAGGAATAAATCTTGAGCAACGACGTCAAGAAAAGAAAGATCCTTTCGCAATGGTAAGTTAATGGTAATCCACAATGCCGCAACTACAACTTTTAGTAATCTTTAACTACAGACTACTCGCTTCTGAAAGCGATTTCAGCTTTTAATTCTGTTATAAAATAATGTAGCATTTCAGGAGTTTCAGCATCATTTAAGCATCGCCTATGATAATGGCGAAATTCATTTATTGCAAATTGTAATACCGTAATACCGATTATTTAAATACGCTACGTTACGTTATTACTCAACATGAATTTATACCGATACATACACATATATATACACACACGTAGATTTTATAC